GACCATTTACACAAGTAGTTGTAGCATTTTACATCCTCACCAAATTGTAGCAAAGTTCTGGTTGCTGGTCATACCTTCCCACCAACTCTCCAGGTCTCAGGGCTTCTTAACTGTAGTTATTTCAGTGGGCTGTATTTCACATTTTCTCAATGATGAACAATGTCAAACACATTCTCATGTATTTACTAACCATTTATATATATTTCTTGTGAAGTATCTGTTCAAATATTCTGCCTATTTTTTTATGTTCTCTAAAAAAGATGTTGTACATCTATGTTTTCCATGTTGCTTCTTCCCCTCAATAACAATAAAAAGCCAGACCATCTATAAAATCCTCATTTTCTTTGGCCTGTTAAAGAGCGGAGGCGGCAGCCACCACGTGTACGGAATCTCAGAGTCTCAGCACTCGGTGAAGAACAGCTGCACACAGCAGGTGAAGATGGACGGGTGCTGAATTCACGAATGGATGAATGTCTGAATGCTGACTGACTTCAGCTTACTGAATGACCACTCTCTGCCACAAACCAGGGACTGTGATGCATAATCTTCAATTCTACCAAACTAATTTTTATCTCCATTTAAAGGACATGATCAAGGTTGCACACCTAGCATAACTAGAGTCTACAGTTCATCTTTCATACAGTGCCATGCTTCCACCCTCTGAATGACTTTCACCTTCTATGATTCTTCCTTGTTTTTTTAAAAAAATCAGCTGTAGTATTGCTTAGATCCCATGAATACCCTTTTTCATGTAGGAAGCTGACATTACTTCCCACCAAGAGGTCATGTGCACCAGGAGTGGTAACGCCATTGCTTCAAGATAATGGCCTCCCTGTGCATCTCCTGTCTCGTCCTGTCTCACGGAGTTTTGCCTGCTCTGTGAACGGTATGAATCCCAAATACCTAGCCAGTCCATAGGACGTGAGTAGCATGTGCTATAGGGCTAATGGATACAGAGGGAAGTCATGACGGTTATTCTCTTTGAAATTCAACCTATGTATTCTGTTTCTACACCTTTTCTTCCCCTCTGAAAATTACCATTTTGAGTGTATCTGTATTGTGTTCAATTCGGCTGACTTTAAAATAAACTATATAATCTAGGCACTGAGAAGTGCACATACAAGACAATGACAAACTTACATTCTACAGGAAAGTAGAGGGAGAAATGCATTAAAAACAATAAATAATTACCATGAAGAGATGCTCAACATCACTAATCGCCAGGGAAATACAAATCAAAACCTCAGTAAGAGATCACCTCACCCTGGTTAGGGGGGCTTCCCTGGTGGCTCAGATGGTCAAGAATCTGCCTGCAATGCAGGAGACCTGGGTTCCATCCCTGGGTTGGGAAGATCCCTTGGAGGAGGACATGGCAACCCACTCCAGTATTCTTACCTGGAGAATCCCATGGACAGAGGAGCCTGGCAGGTTGCAGTCCATGGGGTCTCAAAGAGTCAGACAGAACTGAGAGACTAAGCACACCCTGGTTAGAATGGCTATCATTACAAAGTCCACAAACACTACTGTATATGAAACAGGTAACTAGTAAGGACTTAGTATAGAGCACAGGGAAATATACTCAGTATTTTGTAATAACCTATAAGGAAACAGAATCTGAAAAGGAATATATATATATACACACACACACACATAGATAATTATATCCCTGTGCTGTACACCTAAAACACAAGGCTGTAAATCAACTATACTTCAATCTAAAAAAATTCACAAACAATAAATGTTGGTCAGGGTGTAGACAAAAGGGAACCCTCTGACATGGTCAGTGGGACTGTAACTTGATGCAGCCACTATGGAAAACAAAATGGAAGTTGCTCAAGAAACAAAACATAGGATGATCATATGATCCAGCAATTCTACTTTGGGCATATATATGAAAAAAATGAAAACACTAATTTAAAAAGGTTTATGCACCCCAACATTTATAGCAGCATTATTTACAATAGCCAAGGTAGGAAAACACACACACACACACACACACACACACACTGGAATACTACTCAGCCATAAAAAGGAATGAAAATTTGCCAACAACATCGATGGACCTGGAGTATATTATGCCCAGTGAAGTAAGTCAGAAGAGAAAAATAAATAAGTATATTATGACTTATATATGGAATCTCAAAACAGTAAAACAAACGAATGAATATAACAGAAACTGACTCACAGATGATGAGAACAAACTCATCAGTTACCAGTGGGGAGAAGGATGGAGGGAGGGGTAAGATAGAGGTAGGAGATTAAGAAGTACCAGCTATTATGTATAAAAAATAAGCTACAAGCATATAGTGTACAACATAGGAAATATAGTCAATACATCATAATGACTATAAATGGAGTATAATCCTGAAAAATTGTGAATCACTATGTAATACACCTGAAATTTATGTTTTAAATCAGCTATACTTCAATAAAATATAAAATATTACAGGAAAGCAAAATAAAAATTGTCCAAAAGGTGAATAAGAATACTGTACTCATGACACCCACATGCACTGGACAAAGAGTTATCATGGCACCTTACATTAGACAGTGTCTCTCTCCCTTCACCTAACTCTCCTCCTTACAGTTCAGGATGCTGTTTCCCTTACATATTTACTGGATTCTTGCTTCCCTGGACCATTGCCACCAATTACTGAGAAAACCTACTCCCTGATATAAGCTCACTCTCAGACCCACGTCCCAAATACAACCAGCTGCTAGGCAACTGGTGGGCACAACTAGGTGGGCACAACCTGAAGCTGGTTCAAGGCAAGCCAGTCCCAATCCATGTCTCCTCTATGGAGGGCCAGTCATGACACTGTTTCCAGGATAAAATAACACTGAACAGAAGCCAGTGATCATTGTAATCAGCTCACCATGAATCACCTTTACAGACTTTTTAATACAATAGATACAATAAGATAATATCCTTCCCTAACTTTTGATTGACAAAGGTCCCTGTCTAGAATCTTACAGGGTCATAGGCAAACTCAAGTCTGCTAAAATCTAACATACAAAATCCTCTCAAAAGTCTTTTACATATTTCATTAAAAAAAAAAAGAACTTTAAAAGATGTCTCATTAAATTCTATTTTGAAATAAAAATGGAGGTAGTAGCTATAATACAGTTTTCCATTTTGAATTTTAAAAGGTATATTCTTCCTGGTCTTGGCATTTTGCTAGAAAATGAACATTATGGTATATTTCAGGAGATAATTTATATAGCAAACACACACACACACACACATTAAATGTCAGCTTCAACATAACTTGGATTGCTTTCACACTCACTAGGGACAAGTCTAGTTGTTAATCTTCGTGAGGGTCTCCAAATGGGTCTTGGAATGAGGACTGCTCTGTGGTAGGTGACAATGACAATGTCTATATGGTAGGCAACAAGTGTAAGGACAATGTCTAGAACCCCCATTTCCCAGACTTCAGTGGCAACTGATTCACCTGGAGAGCCTAGTTAAAACACAATGGCTGGGACTCTGTAGGTTTGGGATCAGACCCTGGGTTTATAAAATATACACAGCTGGTGTGGATGGGGGACCCTACTAAGACTGGTTATAGGCTCCCTCTATTTATAACCCCACCCCCCACCCCCGCCCCAACAAGATGCCCTCTTTTTTAAAATAAAAATGTGTTCCGGTAGAATCAAGAGTATACATAACCCCCTCAAGAGCCAGGAGATCCAACTTGGGTCTTACAAGCCACTCTGCTCCTGCAGGTTAGGCATGCAGAGGGGTGACGATGTGGCACAGCCGTGGTCCCCCAGGTAAGTGCCCTGTCCTTGTGAGGGAGGCTGAAGGGGGAAACTCAGATTCATATAAAACACAGGCCAGCGACTAGGGCCCTCCTTGTCCCTCAGCACACCTGTGGGGGCTGGTCAGTTTCCCACCCCGGGGTCACAGGTGCCACCTGGGGACAGAGGGGGATAGAACGCGGAGGGAGGGGGACACAACGAGGTGGGGGTGCAGATGGAAACGGGGCAGGTACAGAGGGATAACGGAGCGGAAAGGAGGGGGGAAAGAGGGGGACAGACGGGGATAGAGATGGGAATCCACAGCTGGGGCAAGAGGGGGCACCGAGAGGGTGGAAGGACGGAGGGGGCCAGAGAACGGCCGGCCAGTCTGAGGTCGGAGGGAGGGACAGAGGGGACCCAGCCGCGCCCCCTCAGCTCGGCGGAGGGTCAGGAGACCAGGGCCCGGGCGACCGACGGACGTGGACCAGGGCTGAGGGGCCAAGGACTGGGACGGGACGACGGGGATACCGGGGCCGGGGCCGGGCCCGAACGATCGGCCCGACGGACGTGGACCAGGGCTGCGGGGACGAGGACGGGAAGACCGGGGCTGGGGCCGAGACTGGAAGGGCAGGGACACCGGGTCCCCTCGGCCCGGCCGGCCACGGCTCACGCAGCTCTCGGCCGCGCACCTCCCAGCTCAGACTCCTCCGGCGCGAGGCGGCCCGCGCCTTATATACCCTGCTAAAAATAGCCTGCGAAACCGCCTCCCAATCAAAACCGGCCGAAGTTCGAATTCCGCCAATGGCGAGGGCGGTGATGGAGAGGCTCGGTCACGCCAGGCGGGGCCGCGGTGAGCCGCCTCCTGCGATTGGCCGGAGCTGACATCATCGGCGCGCAGTCCCCGGGCCGGGAGCGGCGTGATTGGGCGGTGCGCGGGGCGGGCGCGGGCGAGTCACGTGGGGAGGCGGCGGTGGGGGGAGCTGGGCGGGGAGGAGGGGAGGCTGGCAGCGGAGCTTTGAATAGGGAAGTTTTGCAGGGGTTACGTTTGCAGTCAGTCCGGTGTTTGCAAATATTGTGCGGGCTCGCGAGCGCGTCTCCGGGCTCCGGCCAGGACCCGAACCCGCGGCGCCTAATCGCTGCGCACTTGAGTTTGCATGAACTTCCCCGGCCCTGCAGGCACGGCCGCCGCGCTCCCGACTGCAGACCGCACGCCTCCCTGTTTTTACAGCAGCGGGGACGGTCTCTTCCAACCCGACATGGATGTGCTCCCAATGTGCAGCATCTTCCAGGAACTCCAGATTGTGCACGAGACTGGTTACTTCTCGGCGCTGCCCTCCCTGGAGGAATATTGGCAACAGGTAAATAGGGATTTTCGTGGGCCAGGTGCCCCGGTGCGCCGAGCAGGGAGTGCGTGCATGCACCCGCAAGACGGTGTGTGCTTGGAGGTGCAGTTCCTTTTCATTTTCTTCTTCTTCTTCTTTCTTTTTTTTTTTTATGGTTTCGGTAAAATTTTTTTTAAAAATTAAAATAATTACTGTTAAAACGTACTTGTGCCTCCGGCGCGGAAGACACTTTAAAGGGGCCTTTCAGAGCGTGGAGCGGAGTTGTCATCTGAGTGGGGCGCAGCGGCGTCGGGCGCTCCCCGTGTTCTTGCCGTTTTCTGGGGCTGTTGAACCGTCCTCCCGAGCATAGACCGAGCTCCGCGGCCTGATCTCGGCCCCAGCCCTTGGCAGAAGTTTGGTGCTTGTTCCAGCTCCAGGCTCTCCACAGCTGGACCTGGTCATATGAACCTGCATGGACTGCCAAGGCTATTTTTTCTTTTTTTTTTAAGGGATTTTGTTTTCGTTTTGCTTTTTTGGTGTTTGTACATAAAGGTTTTTCTTTCTTTCTTTTTTACTTAAGAATTTCTCCAGTGAAACACCCACAAGCTCCTTTTCTCTACCAGGCCATTTTCAGTTTCTTTACCTTTGGAATCCTTAATTAAGATTTGCCTCCATCTGCCTTGTTTTTCTTACCTGCTTCTTTTGTTGACCAGGGGAAAAAAAGGAAAAAAAAAACCAATGTTTGCACAACCAGTGACTTATCAGTCATATGACAATGAGCCTGTCCGAATTGCTTCTAGTCTCAGTTTGGGAAGAGGAGTCTGTTTCCGGCTTTTTTTTAGTGGAATTGGAATTTGGGTCATTGGACATTTAAAAAACTTAATTTTTCCCTCTTCTCCTGCGTTAGGATTGCCTGAAGGGAGAGAGATTGTGACACTTGTCCCATTGTCTTTAAAAGATAGAAGAAGGGTTTGGGGTTGTCTCTGCCCTACTAGGCTGTTTGCTTTTTGTCACAAAGTGAATTAGCAGATCGCATATATTCTGTGGGTTTCAAAGCTTAGAAGGCTTTTAAGGGGGATGAAATGCAAAGTGGAACAACCTTCACATGCCTGCCTCATTGTTCACAGCCCTCCCTTTCCTCTCCCCTCCCAGCTTTTCCTTCTAAAGAAGCTTCCTAGGATGTGATTGAAATCGATCTAAGTAGTTTCCTTGGACATTTGGGATTTGAACCACAAGCCAGGCTGAGCTCTGGGTTGCCTTCAGAGGCTTTTAAACTCTCCCCGAGAGCTTCGTTCTGGTCCCCAGTGCTTCTTGGCATAATGGGGATTTTAAATTAGCCAGATTATTAAAGTTTAACAAGGTCTCAGTAAACATGCTTTCCTTTTTCTTTGGAACATCCATAAAATATCTTGCCAGTCTCTCCTCAGAACGCTGGAGGGTGCTTTGTAACCTAGACGTCTAATTTTAGGGGTAACAAGAAAACAGTGATTGTTTTTTCCCCCTCTGCTTGCTCCTGCTTGCGATGTAAAGAGTCTGGGGGGCGGGGGAGGGGGGAAGGATATATTCTGATAGCAGGCACCTTGCTAAATAAGCAAGCCTGAGCCCTTTGGGTGGGCTTGGCTAGCCCTGAAAATGATTTGCTTAAAAAAGAGAGCGGCGTTTGCTGTAGCAATGTAAATCTGTAGACTTGCAGTTGTATAGACAACCTTATATGGACATGTAGGCAGTTGATCCTAGTGAAGATAAGGCAGACATAATATAATCCTAAAATGTTTCCTACCGTTTTTCTTTTCCAGTGGCTAGAAAGTTTGAGATGGTGGGGAGAGGGGATGCTGGTGTCTCGGCAGTTGTAGCTTCTGGAAAGGTTGGTTGTGGGGCTGGGGGGGGGCACTCTGTCCATGACACATTGCATGTATATTTGAACCGGGTCCTTTTTTTGGCCGCTGGTCAGAATTTCAAAAGGAAGTCTCCTTTGGCATTGCGTGAAAGAAATAGAGTGATGACTCATACAGTTGTACTCTTGGCCAGCAGATAAAGTTCTCGTCCATTGTGGGACTCCCAGCAGGGCCGGGAAAGGAATTTCCCCTCCCGCATCCTTTACAAAAGCAGATGGCCATTCTGGAACCATTTCTCCACTCCTGTTGTTGTTTTCCTCTGACCACTGTGGAAGTCATTTAAGTTGTGTGCGCACATGGCCCTGCACTTGGGAATGGCATTCTTTGAAAGCCTACTAAGGTCTGGGCTCCTCCACAGGAAACGGGTAGCTTCTGGGCAGCTCGGTTGATGTTCCTGACCCTAGACGTCCCCCTGGCTGCGTCCGCCTCCGCTGGGCGCGGCCTGTGCTGTCAGCGGTTCTCCAGAGGGGACACATGGCCATGTCAGAGCTCACCGTGCTGCGTGCAACAGGCCCACAGAAGCAGGCTGCCTGGGTGTCCTTCATGCACAGGGTTCTGGAGGCTGTCAGATAATCTGGTTAAACCTGTCGGGTGGGGGTGGGGGTGTCAGAGGCTGGTGTCCTTTGTGTGGCTAACAGAAACTCATTAGAAACGTCAACACTGTAACTCTTAACAGAAACTAGCTCCTCTGTGGCCATCAGCCATTTGTGGCCATTGTGGTCCACCTCAGGGAAGCGGGGAGAGGCTTCGCCCTGGTTTTCCTTCTGAACGTGTCCCGTTCTTAGAGATAGCTCTCCTTTCACTCTGCTACAGACACGGAGTCCTATAGTGGCAAGACCACAGTTGATCTGCCCTTGGCTCCTGCATGTTTTTTTTTTCTTTTGGAATTGTGCTTTCGGTTCCGTTTTCGGTGTGGTCACAATCACGTGCCTTCCTGTGATTCTTTCGCACAGACCTGCCTGGAGTTGGAACGTTACCTGCAGAGCGAGCCCTGCTACGTGTCAGCCTCCGAGATCAAATTCGACAGCCAGGAAGATCTGTGGACCAAAATCATCCTGGCTCGGGAGAAAAAGGAGGATGCGGACCTGAAGGTGTCCTCCTCTGGCCCGCCCGAGGACGTGCTCCACAGCCCCGGCTTCAGCTACAACCTGGAGACCAACAGCCTGAATTCGGATGTGAGCAGCGAGTCCTCCGACAGCTCCGAGGAGCTCTCGCCCACCACCAAGTTTACCTCCGACCCCATCAGCGAAGTCTTGGTCAACTCGGGGAATCTGAGCTCCTCGGTCACCTCCACACCTCCGTCCTCCCCAGAACTGAGCAGGGAGCCCTCGCACCTGTGGGGCTGTGTGCCTGGCGAGCTGCACCCCCCTGGGAAAGCGCGGGGCGGGACCTCAGGGAAGCCGGGCGACAAGGGCAGCGGGGACGCCTCCCCCGACGGCCGCAGGCGGGTGCATCGCTGCCACTTTAATGGCTGCAGGAAAGTTTACACCAAAAGCTCCCACTTGAAAGCACACCAGCGCACCCACACAGGTCAGTCCCTCCTACGACCTGGGCGGTGGGGCGCTGCTGAATTTCACCCGCCCTGGGAGGGGGCTGGGCAGGAGGCTGTCGGAGCAGACACATCCTCACCTCCTTTCTTCCCCCCCGGAAAGAGTTGGGTCTCTGGGGAGGACAGAGTAGGCGCTGAAAGACTGGACTTGTGTGCCCGATGAATGGTTTATCGCTTTCTGATTAAACACACAAGAGGTAAATCACATTCTTTGTCTACACCCAGTCCCCTGCCCACTCCCAACCACCTGGGTTACAGAGGTCCCACTGTGCCCAGTCAACAGTGTCCATGCATCATGTTATGTGGAGTTGCCTCTGACTTGTGGACATGAAGTTCGAGGGTTGGGAGGGGGTGGCCTGGCCACCGTTGGGGGTCGTCTTAGCTGGCCCTATCAACTGCGAAGTGGTATGGTCGGTGGGTACCTAATAAGATTTCTCTGCATGTCATGCTGCCTTTGTTTTCCAATGCCAGTTTTTTAAAACGAAGATAACTTCCTAGTGAAATATCACAGTCTGGAGAATAGTTCCGCTTCAAGTTAGTATGACAGCCTAGGATAACTGCTGGAATGTCACAGACATCTTAGAACTGGGAGGGGTCTTGAGGGTCACGTCACACAGAATCCCATGCTGCCAGTAATGAGAGGAGACGGGGATCCCCAAAGCAGCTCAAGGCAGAGCTGGAATCAGGACCTGGGTGCCCTGGACTGGCTCCTGATGGTACCCGCAGCCTGCTCAGGACTAGCTGTGGGAACTTTTTTTTGTTTTTAATTTCTCAGGTAGCACCTTTAGTGAAATCCTATTTGTAAAATGGCCAAGGGATGAAGTCAACTGGGTGTCTTGCTGGTCCTTTAGAAAGTGCTTTGAAGGCTTTGGAATGGGGCTTCCCAGAAACTCATGACCTCGGTTTTAGAGAAATGTAGTTTCCCGGAGGAAACTACAGAGCCTCATTCCACGGGGAAGTGAGTAAGGAACAAAATAAGTGCTTGAGAGAAACCGTTTCCATGGAGAAAGCAGTAAAAACCCGGCCCTGGCCAAGGCTGTGGGTCCAGTGGCCTGACACATCACCTCGGAAGTATTTCTCTGGTCTGAGTAATTGTCATTCTTCCATGTTGGCTCTGGTCACGGTCATGCGGCCCTGCCAAGCCTGGGTCTGTCCCCCAGCAGTGGGAGTCCCCAGGCTAGGTTAGAAAAGAGCCCCTGCCTGGTACCTCGGGAGGGCTGGCTCGTAGCCCTAACAGGTGTGTGTTCTGAGTTCCTGAGGGCAGTGACCCCCTAGCCTGCTCCTGAGGGGACTCTCTGGCCGTGTGTTGGGGTCTCGGGGCCCCTCCCTCACTGCTCAGTGAAGTCATGGCGTGCCTGTCCTGTGCTTTCTTCCCAGGAGAAAAGCCTTACAGATGCTCATGGGAAGGGTGTGAGTGGCGTTTTGCAAGAAGCGATGAGTTAACCAGACACTTCAGAAAGCACACTGGTGCCAAGCCTTTTAAATGTTCTCACTGTGACAGGTACGTGCATGAACCACAGGGGCGGGGGTGCCAACCCCGGGAGCAGGCATGCCGTCACCCCGCAGTAGGCAGCCATCTTCTGGGCCTGCAGTGGCATTTTCTCTTTTCAGCCCAGGACTTTTTTAAAAAGGCTCTTGTTTGCCAGTTGTCCAGGTTAGGAAGCCCCAGATACCTGAGTGCCTGAGAATAGAGTGATTTCGTTCATACTTCAGAGGAGCGACCCTTGATCAGTTTTCAGATTTGAAGGCCAGGTAGTGAAGTCCAGTGACATTCCCAGGAACTTACTGGTGGCCTGTTTGATGTAGATACTTCTGTCGGTTGGAATTTCCTGCCCCAGATGAGGATAGGGTGACTCAGCATCGTGGGGAGAGGCTGAGGTTGGGGAGCTCGGGGCAGAGGCCTGTGACGGGCAGGGCAGGAGAACTGATGTCTGGGATCCCGATTCTCTCCACAGGTGTTTCTCCAGGTCCGACCACCTGGCCCTGCACATGAAGAGACACCTCTGAGGGGGCAGAGCGGCAACTCCTGCGGGCTAAAAAGGCTTCCAGGCTGAGACGGCCGCGGAAGGAGGGTGCGTGTTCCAGCCAAAGCCATTTTGCACCCTGCCTGGTCGCCTCCAGGACCTACTGGGAAGGTCTTTCGAGGGCGAGAACAGTCACGTCCGAAGCGGCAGGGCACCCGGGGTGTGTGGTGTCTGGGTGGCCCCGGCTCGCCACTGGTTACCTGTCCTCTGAGTGGTCCCTAAGCCTTTGCCGTGAGCATGTGCACTGAGAATGTTAGTGGTGGGTGGGCTGTATGTGGAGGGTCTCCTACGGACTGGGTGACAAGGCACGTCCTTTCCCTGGCGAGACTGCAAGAGACAGAAAAAAAAAAAACAGAGTTTGAATGTTCTGTGTGTGAGGCGTGTTCCGTGAGACGAGATGACCATCCGTCATTTCCTGAGGGGGTGTCTGCGCCTTAGAGGAGAGAAAAAAAAAAGACAAGAAGAAGGGAAGATGCAGAGGGCAGGCGTGGGCAGTCAGGACCCCGACTGACGAGTGGATGTTGGTGGGGAGAGCCCTTTCTCCCCCCGGTGTGTGACGGGAGCGTTCGATGTTCGGTTCAGCTGTGTGAAGTGAGTAGCTGGCGCTGCTTGCTGCGACAGAGTTCATTTGTTACCTGTTGTATACGCTGTGTACCTACAAACATAACACGTGGATAACTTTTCCTTCTAAGACAAAAGTAATGCATGGTCTGGGGAATTATCTGCTTTTCCATTTTTAAATCAGGACTACCGTTTTGGTTCCAAGTTCACTGAGCAGCTAAGATAACGATTGGTCGAATCAGGTGACCCCCTAGCCATCTGGGCCTGGCAATATGTGATGCTTCCCCCCCGCCCCGACTCCCGCTCCTTGGATTTATTCGTAACACTCCCCTTCTAGAGAGGCATTGTGCAGTGTAGGACTATTTTGTCAGTGGTTCCGAATTTGTATTACCTTTTTTGAGAATTTCAAGATGCCCTTGGGAGACATTGGGCACGAGTTGGGTGTCTGGGACACCAAGGCTGGGAATCACTGGTCTAACGTCCCACTAGACTCAGAACCTAAAATTTTTCTCAGTTGGGTGGATAAAACCACTAAAGCTTAGAAACTGTTTTCTCATGCAGCTAAGTTTCTCTTATTTATGCCTTGAGGACTCATTTCTGGTTTTCTAGCTGTTAAATGCACTGTAGATCTTAATAATGGTGCCTTACGCAAGTGGCCCCTCCTGTGGGGGTCTCATACAGGGGAATGGGTGATGCATGCTTTATTAAGGCTCTTTTTTCACCTGGCTTTGTACTGTATCAATATTTAATACAGAAAAAAAAAAATATCTTTAAGGTCCTACTTCACAAAGTCAAATAGATGAAAACCCCCCAAACAAGTCAGTATTTACTCAATAGCTTAGACAACTTGACTGTCAGTGTTCAAGTGGGAAACACATGATAATTGGAAAATCAGACCATTTCTGCCACCATGAGGGTGAGACTTCAGTATAGACTTTGCACAACACTTGTACAGATCATACACCGGCTGTGTTTAATATGTAACATTTTCACACGTATTAAAGATACAGAAGTATTAAAAAACAATGTATTTGCTTAAAAGGCACAAGTTTCTCGCGTATCTATCTAGCTATCTGTTGGTAACACAGAAGGTATATTACTTTTTTAAAAAGTGGGCGAAATTCTTGTGTATGTACATTTGTGTGTATAGTATGTGTATGTGTGTATGTATATATATATACATATATATGAATAATATATAAATATTTTTTTAAGGAGAAATTAGAATGTATAGCTAGAAAATTCCACAGCCTGTGAAGACCTATTTCAAAATGGCCATAAAGGAGGTAAAATGAAAACTATAACTTTTATAAAGGCTTTATCTTTCATTTAACAATTTGTCACAGGCCCTTGGCATCAAATCTCTTCCAGACTGCCAAGTCACTCATAGTAATTGGCGGGTCTGGGATAGGGTCCCTTGGCCATTCAGAACTGCCATGAACGGAATACTAGCCCACTGGTTGTTTGGACACATTAAGGTTTTGATTTCGAATGTCAGCCTTATTGGAGATCTAACCTAAAAGTAAGCTAATCACAGAGATTCTTTTTGAGAGCATTTTTTTATGCAGATGAAGCTATTTTTTTTCCAGCACATAGATTGTTCCAGTTATTCCAACAAGTAATTTCCCCGAATTGGCATACCGCAGCATGGACAGCTGATCCTCCATGCAGCTGCTGGTCGAGGGTGTGGATCTTCTCTTTATATATATTTATATATATATATATACATATATATACACATGAGTCTGGCTGGGCTGGTATTTTGTTTGATCTTCCTGAAAATGAGCAACAGTAAAAGCTCATATAACTGGTTTTTTTTTTTTTTTTTTTTAATCTGGGCTGATGGATACACTTACCTAAAGAAATCATTTTGCTGAGGGGGAAAATGCACTTTTTTCTTTTGGCAGTTCCAAATCCAGACACTTGATTTGCTGGATTTTGGAAAAAAAAAACCTCCTTTTTTGGCCCTGCTGTGTGCTTAGCCATAACAGTTCCATTAAGCAAGAAGGTAAACAAAAGACAAAAAATAAAAAACTTGCACTGGCTTGTCTCACTTATGAAACACCGTGGAGTGGTTTGATTGGGTGGGGCTGGGTGCCATGTATGTCAATGCCTGTAATTTTCATAATAAGCAAGTATATAAAGAATTACAATTCTGTTCAGGTGATAACTGAGCCTCAATCAAGCAGAAACTTTTTGCTTGACATTAAAAAAAAAATTTCTATTAGTGAAATTTCTTTCTTTTTTTTTTGAAGCACCCTGTTATCTAAAAAAAATCTTTGTAAGATTTTTGTAAAATTTTGTTTTACAAGATTTTATTTGAAATTGTTTTTTGCAAGATTGTTATATTTCTGTATGAATGTATTTTTTATTGGAATAACATAAAAGAATTCTTATCAGCATCTTGAGTCTGGCTGTTTTTGTGTAGGGGGGAGGAGGGAGGGAGTGTTGAAACAAATTCCTGCCAGATTAATCACTGGGCTCCTCCTTGGGAAATCTTCCTTATGCAACCCCAGCAGCCACTTGCCTGTCTCCCTCCCACTCACCGTCCTGGCAGCAAAGGTGGAAATAGGAGCCTGGGGTTGGTCCCCTGATGCGCACTGGGTTCTCCTCCAGGGCCTGGCCAGCAGGCTTTGGGGCCCTGGAGGAAACTCTGGCTGTGCTTTCCCTGTCACTCCAGCCTGGGAATAAACTGCAGAGGCATCCGAGGAACGTGGAACAAGCACCTCCTGTTCGCTTCCGATGCTCCTGGGGACCTGTTCAAGGTCAGATGCTCCTGGGCAGCTGTTCCACCTAGGCCTTCAGAGCTGGGGGCCACCCCCAACCTGGCCCAAACACCTGGCTGGGATGTCACCCAAGAGGGTGGAAAGGACACAGTGGGGACAACAAGCCCCAGAGCAATTCCTCTGGCCTTCAGGACACCCTCCCTTACCTCTCCCCCACCACCACCTTCTCTGGTCAGACCAGCAAAATAGGGCAGGAGGTGAAAGATTATTTACCTGATCGCCAGATTATTTAATTTTTTTTTTCCTTCAGGCAGATGGAATTCATTCAACGTAAATTTTTTTTTTGAAAATAGGGTAGCTTTTGGTTTTCTAGAAATGTTTCCCAGCATGAGATCATAGTCCTGCTGTGTAATGAGTGGCAAACAAGTTTGTGTTAAGATCATATTAAGCTCCTTAGTGGGGACAGGGCAGAACTGGTGTGTGCCTTCTGGAGGGGGCAGTGGGATGGTGGAAATTTCCGAGAGATTGAGCTTCTGAAGCTCGTTCTTAGTTTAAGGAAGTTCTCTGGTTGTTGCTGGAAGGACTCCCTGCGTCTGTAGCCATTCTACATTTTGCCTTGTGAACAGGGTTTACACAAGCTGCCTTTTAATTTGATAATTGGGGAGGAGAAGCTGAAGTGCATCCCCAGATTAGGAATGTTAAGTAATTTTCTTTCTAGAACTGCGGTAAAAATACCAGCCATTCGAAAGGAGTGTGGTGTGGGAGGGTGAAGGAAGCAGATGCAGTTTTTGCCGGGATTCTTGGGTGTGTTGTGTTCGAAGCACATGTCAGGATGACTAATAGTTGGATTGCCCTGACTGTAGCTCTAAATAAAGGCTTGATAATGCATTCTCGGCTACTAGTGAGATTTGACCACTTTGTCATGCGAGGACTATGCTGAACAGCCCAGTTATGTTCAAATAAGGCTGCTAGGAGAACTGCCATGCAAGGAATCAGCTGTAAACCCAGGATATTTATAGAAGGACAAAAATTTTCACTCTGCTTAACAAAAGTGTTGAAACTTAGCTAAAAGAAAAGATCTGTTCTGTGTGCTTTTGGACAATTTGCTGAGCCACACTGGACCTCAGCTTTCTTATTGCTGAAATATTTTGGGCTTGGTCACATGTATCTAGTGTTTTGTAGAGCACTGCAATTCTGTGGTTTGTGAGTATAGGGTGGACTTCAAATTACACGTCCACCCTCCTCGGAATGCTCCGCTCAGATCTAGAAAGTTCTCTCACTCCACAGTAGACGGTATTGTTGAGAAAATTGCTCTGACTTAGAATGGAAAGGGGAACGTTCTCAAATATCCCCTTGCCCCTTTAATTATAGTTAAGTTATTTAGACATTTGGTGCCATAATACGTACCATTTTTTTAATTAAAAACAAAAACAAAGAACAACTCTTTGAAAACAGCCATTGTAGCCACAGCAGACCCAAAGCCTCTAAGTTCTCCCAGCTCACCAGTCCCATCGCAGAGGTTCCCAGCTGACCTGTGTGCCCAGAGGGCGGGGGAGGCGATGGAGTCAGGTTGTTTACTCTTATATTTTAATTGCTGTGGAGAAAGAACATAGCTTTCCTATGTAACTTCCTTCTTAGTTTTTAACCTTATGCCACCATGAGCTATTTTTTTTTCTTTTTCTCTAAGTCTTTTAAA